TAAATGTTATCCTATTAAAGTTAAAACATTTGTGGCTTCACAGTCGTTAAGCTTATTAACCTCAAGATAATCAAGCCTTGCAAAAAACACTTTCATTCCTTTCCTCACTTAAGTCATCATGCTTCAATATGAAATATGGGTTCTTTAACAAAAACTGTTTATGCTGCTCATTTGCATCTATCATCCTCTCGACACATTTACCATAGCAATAATAATAGTAACAACATGGTTAGTAGCCGTAGCTGCATAGAAAGAAACAAAATATGAATAGGAATGAGCTGCCGCATACCAATACATCTTCGTCAAAATTCTATAACATGCAAAATTCACTCACAATACAAAATAAAAATTAAAGTCAGTGAGTATAATGACGACATCGGAGTTGAATAAAAAAAAATTTTTTTTGAGAGAGTTTTACAAGCACACAATAACTCGCGGCTGTATGTGTTTGCGTCTATTGAAAAAGAAGGGAAAAAAATAAATAAAAAATATTTAATATACACAGTATATTCAGTTATAGCATGTGCTTGATTACGAGCAGGTGGTTCTGAGACAATTCAATAAAGTTGAAAAAAAAAATTTAATTTCTCTCTCGATTCCGCTCCGTGCCGTGTAAATTGTTTGATAATAATTTCGCAATAAAACATTCTATAACAAGTGATTAGTGGCAACGAGAAGAAAAAAAAGTGTGTAATGTGAATTGTTTGCCTTTTTTGATTCGCTTATCAGACTCGTCGTTAAATGCCTCATGTGACGCGACTACCAAATTATTATTTTATTATTCTGCCAGCAAAAAAATAATTTATTTATCTATTTTCTCTGGAAGCATTAAGTTTGGAATATATTGTGCTAAAATCTGTGGATGGAAAGCTTTTTTTGTGTCTAATTGAGATGTTCCTTTATTGGATGTAATTGAGTTTATAACGGATACCTCCCATGGTTCTGAAAAATCTCTGAAACTAAAGTAAATGAGTGTAAATGTTGGATTAATTTTAGCGATAAAACTTTCATGCTATTTTAACAGACCTCACATCATGGGGTCTTGTACTGGGGAACATTCTTAAATAGTGGTGTTGGTTAAACTGTGTGCTGCAATGCAGTAGTGTTATAAGCCAAAAATCTAAGTGAATTTTGATTTTTTGTGTAACAGATGTAAGACAGTGCTTCTCAAACTATGAGACACGAAACAATCTTGTGACTTCAAAGCTTCAGGGCCCAGTTCCTTAGCATCTCACAATTTTCCAAATTTCTGCATTTTTTGCTGCACACGGGTTCGTTATCTTTACCATATCTTTCATGTAGGAACTGGTTTCTAATAGCTAACCAAGATACCCTACACACTTCATGCTCAAATTATGTTTATATTTCATACTTAACTCAAGAAATCTGCAAGTCAAGACTAAGTGAATATCCAAATAAACCAAAACACAAGCTCTGTCCCCAAAAAAAAAAATTACCAAGAAGCAAAAGAAATTAAAAATTTCGTGATTCGGTTCTTAATTGCCTGCTTTTTAGCAACAACTTCTGAATATTGGTGAATTAATGTCGCGAAACGATACAGCACATACAAAAAAAGTATGTGATTATGTACTTTATTTGACCTTCAACTCACATCAAATAAAGCACAAGAACAGTAACAGGAAGTATTTTTAGATGTGGAATTGATTATAATCATTTGGGGTGACGATGGTTCTGTGCTGTCCAATTGAGAAATAAAATAATGCTGTGTTTTGCGGTTTATTTGTTGTATGAGTCAATGTGCTATAAATTTAAGTCAGATTGATAATAGAAGCTATTAAGTGCCAATGGATAGGTGCGAAGTTGGTTACTGAATTGTTTTGTTATTGAGTATATAAGGCATGACAGAGGAAATGAAAAAGCATTTTAATGCAAATTTTTGAGTATGAAAAATTGATATTTTGATCATAAAAGACACCAAATGAGGAATATAGCGAAAAAATGTTCAAAAATTTTGGATATTGCTTGATTGTTATGCGGAATCGATTCATCAAAAACGTCGGTTGGTATTCTGAGCTTATGAGAGACAATTTCATTCGGAATCTTCATCAAATATTGTGGAATATTTTCATTTGATGAGTATTTGCAATAGGGGATCATTCAGCAATAACGTTCAACAGTTTAATGAATATTTACAGCTATGAGACACTTAAAAAATCTTAATAGAGTATTAAAATTATGGAGTAAATCTTAAAAATCTCAATATTGATTGTCATCACTAAAGAACTCTCCCATCCAGAATTGAAATACAAATATTATTATTACTCATTATCATGCCTACAGTCAACATTGTAATTATGATAAAATTTGCTTCGTGATTCAAAAGTACTTGACAATATTGGATATTCAATTGTCAACTGTGAATTTAGAAAATTTTTGTGTCTAAAGGTTAAATATTTACGTGACTAAATGTAAGATTCTCATGACGATAAATATTTTGCATTCCGTCGATAATGAAAAATTTTGTGAAAAAAACTTACAAGCTGCATAAATGTAGTTTGCTGTGGAAATGAAATCAGTTTGTGAATTGGATTTCCGGACTTAAATGGAAACTTTGTGTTTTTTCAACACAATTTAAATTTATTGTTGACTTTGAAGATTAGTTTTAGAAATTTTGAAAAGTGTATTAAGGTTAAGGTGCTTTTTTGGAAACAGTCTTGAGAGATTGGAACTTCCGAAACATAACATCGAAAGTTTATATGTTAAAACTAGATTTTGATCCTTAATTCGAAGTTAAGTTTAAATAGTTAACTTTGAACAAGTTGTTCTAAGTAGGATTCAAACTCGCAAATCAGTTCTGATTGTTTCCACTTACCATTGGCTGTTCTTTTTAATTTTAACAGATTTCAAACTTAAACCTTCAATCTGCATTGATCAATATATTTCCTATAATCGTGAATGCAACTTTATTTGGATGTCTTTAATAGAATTCACTGGAATTTACCAGAGACAAATTCAGCCTTTAAAATAACGCAATAATCGATTAAGTAATCAAATTTCATCATCCGAATAATAACCAAACGTCATTCCAATATAATACCAATTACAACTTTCATGGCTATCTTGCAAATTCTCTCCATTTCCATCGTATCTTATCAATTCCGAACTTTGTCAATATTTTAATAAACGACTCTAAATATTATCATCATCGGGTTTTTCAATTCTTATTCCATCGCCATTCTTTGATTTAATTTTTTTTGTGCATTGAATAAAATTGAATGAGTCACATACAGTCACACAAAAATAATCCACAATTGTTCATTGATATTGAAAATTTCCATCAGAATTGAAATTGATTAAGAATTGAATTTAAATCAACAGCACGAAAAAAATTGCATTAAAGATTATTGTGATGTGAAGTTCGGAGATGAATGAAATTCAATTGTCGTAGTCGATAACTGCTGCATTAATGCTGAAATTGCATTCAGATAAAATTGAATGAAGATAATTTTCAAAAAGTAATTAAAAGGAATTAAATCAGCTTTTCTGCAGAAGTGCTTGCATTTGGAAATTTTGATATAATGTAGGCAGTTGCTAGGTTCTAAGTAGGATTCTCAGAAATTCGAGTGTTTGCCAATCAATACGTGAAAAAAAAACAAATCAATAATAAGCCACTCTGCGTCATTATATAATTGATGGTAAAAAGCAATAAATAATTACTTTTGTACGACTCTAATCAATAGATTCATCATGACTGCATGACTGCAATAAACAGAATGATTCTTAATATTGCCTAATATCAATTAGAGTAAATGATAATTGATTACAAATTTGGGAAACAAGCAAAATATTTTTGTTTACTTCTAAGTTGCTCAAACGTCATTCTTTTATGCTAATTTTAGACTTCATGCCACTACATGTTTTAAAAATAACTCCAAAAATTCCATCCTATTGCACAAAGAATTTCATGATGTCGTTCCTATAAATGTACATTCTATGATTATGCATTCAATTCAATCGATTGCATCTCTGATATATACCCACACAGCTCTTCTCTTTGAACTTACAGAAGTTCTTTTTAATTAAATCATCCGAGAGTAAACTCAATTGAAGAGTAAACTCAATCAATAATCAATAGGCTAAAATATTTTATGCAATTTTCAATTGAGCTGTATGTCATGCTCTACATTTTTAATGGACTATTTTGTTTGCTTTAAGCAGCTTTGAGCTTTACAAGGTTTGATGTTTAATCTGGAGAATATTGGATTAGAGGACGATTTGATATTGTGGATTAAAGGCTTTGACTTTTAATTATGTAGATTTAAGCAGATTAAAGGCTTTTTCAGGGTTGTAGCCTAAGAACTCATAACTTGATATTTTAATTTTTTGGACTCTCTAAAACTTTACTTTAGCTTTAATACTCAACATACAAAGCTATTTTAGAATTTATTTGTTATCTATTAAGTACATCCAACTGTAAGCTACCAACAACTCATATCTTATCACTAAATACTTCAGTCTTCTTATTGATTTAAGATAAATAAATCTTTTGAAGAATTAAATAGATTGCAAAAGTCTTTTGAATTATGATGAATCGGAATCCTGCAAGTTTATCTTATTATGTCTAGATTTGTTCCATTATTATGCTGGCTAGGATTTACTATTTATATATTGGATTTTATTGATTTGTTCAGAAGCAAGGATTATCAACAACTAACATAATAATAGCTTTAAACCTAATAGAATTAGAGTTCTGATGTGATCAATATTTAGATTGCGAGGAGTTGAAATTTAAAGGATAATTGATTCAATTTGAATTGATAGAAAAATCCGAATTTAAATTTAAGATTGTTAAAAAAAGTCTAGAATCTCCTTACTCTACAGAACAAAAGCTATTTCAATTCTGATATCAAAAACCATTTCCATCCACTTGTGTTATCACAAAAAATAGTTTTTCCGTGTCGCTGTCACAAAACGTTTTTTAAAACAACTACAAAGTGATAAGTAAAGACCATATAATTATAATTTAACAACAAGGGCATTAACGACGGGCATCATTGATGATAAAAAAAAAATAAAGTCATTCCCACATTTTTTCCCTACAACGATTGATTAGATTTTAATTACAGACCACGAAAAAAAACTTTTGTTTGCTCATTTTTCTTCAATTAGGATTTGACAGTTGACGAAAGAAGAAGAAAATCACGGGAAGGAATTTGTGTGTTTTTTTTTTGTGCGTTATGGAATGATTGTCCATCATAATCATTCATCGAAGTTTGCAAGTTCATAATTACTTTCATTACGCTTATTTTGCCCGACCAAAAAGAAGGAACAAGAATAAGTTGTGATAATCAGAAAAAATAATTAAGTAATTAAAACTTGTTACCATAAGGAACGAGGTAAACAAGATTTATTGTTGGGGTAGGAAGGAACAACAGCAAGAGCCATCAAATTCACACAGCGACAGCATAAAAAATGTCATTAGCAAATGATGAATTAGATGAAAGTCAAATAACAGCGATGGATTTGCCATTAGAATTTAAGGTAAATTTAATTTAACTGTCATTAAATGAATATCCAGAATTTGTTTTATATCATAACATGCTAGACTTTATGGACCAGTGAATCATGAAATTACATCCCTGTATTACTTTTTTGTAACTTTCACTTCCAATTCTTTTTTATGAAGTGCTCTTGTTGGATAAAATAGAACTTTTTTCAAGGGGAAACACAACGTGATGAGGAAACGTTTGAATTGGAAATTTATCATCATGTTGTTATCCCCTTGACTTTTTACATAGGTAGAAATTGTCTAGAACCCTTTTTACAAAAAAAAAACTTTTTTCAAGGGGAATGCAACATGATGGGAAAAAATATTTCACATCATTATATTATCCCCTTGACTTTTCATAAGCTCCAGATATTTCTTAAGACCATAAAATGAGTTAAAATAAGTTTTTAACAAGCAACTATCGATACCGCGATGTAGCAGTTCCAAAGCTACTTTATTGTGCCGCTCAGATATCCTTCCTTTAAACATTCATTTAAAGAATTCAAAAACACAGCTTGTTGCTTGTTTAAAGTTTCAAACCTTTAAGCTAAACAGATGTAATCCAAAAATAATCTACAGCCAAAAGATTCCAATTTAAATTACAAATTTTTAAACATTCTCACAACCACAATTTATTCATGCATAGCCACAACATTTCATAATCATAAATTTTTCAATTAACATAAAATGCTTGCAGCATGCTTTCAAGATTATCATCCACAAGCTAAAAATTTCTTTTCTTTCCTTGAACTTATCCAAATGCAGCCTAAATGCTTCTCAGAAAAATCTCATAAAAATTTCCATCAAAAGGCTTGCTCGGCATAAAGTCGTCGAATATATTTAATGTCTTTCCTGCGGACCATCATGTATGTCATGCATGTTACATGCTCACATACTTGCTCACCAAAGCATCACAAAATTATTTTTTATGTCTCTGCTGTTTTTCAAATTCCCTTTTCCGAATGTGTATATACATAAAAATTACTTCCGTTTTCGTTACTGCTGGAACTGACGATTCTTTTTCATTTACAGCAATTTTCATATGTTTTCATTTTTTATGCGAAATTGCCCTTATTGTGGATGTTAAAGCAGAAGAAGCTCAATGTGGGTTAAAATAGCAATTGCATCAACCCACACTTGTCATTTTGTCATTTTGTGCTTCTTGTTATCCCCTCTTACAGTTCTTATTACAAATTTAGTGGCGCGTTGAATGTAAAAACAGCAACAAACAGAGGCAAAAAATAAGTTCTGCTTTGAAAAATTGTGGTTGACACGTTACGGTAAAGTGCCTTTTTTTACTGGACGAACAAAAGAAGTTGATTGTGATTTATGCTGATGATGATCATGAAGGATGACGATGGTTATGATAACTTTTGAATAAGAATGAAAACCGAAATTGCGGCTTTATGTGCAGTCATTTAATTTTGTTGTTGTGTCGTTTTTGAATTATTCTAGTCACAATTCTCTTTTATGTTTGGTATGAAAAATTCTTTTAGAAAGTTTATTGTGGATACTAATCGCATAGTTGAGTGATCAGAATTATAATTAAGAATGTTTAGATCATTTGGATTATGAGAATTGATTTTAATTATGGAAATTTAAGTAAAAGAACTCAAAAACTTTGAGAATTGACTCATCCACAAAGAGTTTATTTAACTGCAAGAAATATCAAGTTTAGATCTGGATTTTTATGCAATAATTTTGAGTTTTTCATCTTAATTCAAAGAATGATATTCAAATTTTGATGTTAATGTAAACTAGCTTCTTAACAGTCATTATGAATTCAAATTTTTAACGTTTTTTTGAAAATTTGAAATCAGAAAGTTCAAAAGTTAAATGAATTTTGTTAACAAACTTGATAGCCTGTAGATCTTGAGTTTTACAGTGATTGTGCACTAGCTTGAGACTAGTTTACTTGGCCTATTCATTCAACTGTTGTTCAGGATAGATATCTTACTCAAACAAACTTATTGATGAGTCATAAATAAGATAAATTCTTCAAATTCTAATTCTTAAATAATCAAAAGCTAAACTAGTCAAACTAGTCCTCGGTTTCGCAGCCATAAAGATTCAATATAGCTTTCATAGCCTTCTTTGTATCACTCTTGGTCACATTAAGTAGCCACCTACTAAAAGTCTATAGACCCAGCCACTCAACAACCTAGCTATAACAAAGTGTATCACTAAGCAATCTTTTTCAATAAATCCAGCAGTGAATAACCTTATAACCTTAAAATAAGTTCGTTTGTCTCTCCTTAAAAATACTTATACACTCAAAACATATAACTCACCCCAAAAAAAAAAAATCCATTCTAACATGATAATTCCTAGCTTTTCATGCAAAAATACCTCCAAACACAACTTTTTAATGTTCTATCATTTTCATGACAACCACCCACATGAAAGGAATTTCTGTTTAAAAATCCATAAAACAAATGTTTTGCAAAAAAATAAAAATAAATAAATTTCCATTGTTCATATAGAAACAGTAATAGCTTTTCCAGTTACTTAATCTTATAGAATTATTTTTGAAGTTCTTTTTATTTTTGCTCCCCCCTGATGAGGGATAATTCAACCTTTAGCAATTCTTTTGAGGTTTTGACTTTGAAAAGTTTGCGTGATGTGATTTACGACTTCCATTATAAACGTAATTTTCCCACATACATATACTGCACAGACAACATAAGCATGCATAGCTACAGTTTTTAAGGATATGAATGTCAAAAAAGATTTTATTTCCACTTTCAACCGACACGTCGAGACTTGATACTTGATACTTCAATCGATTATCTTTTGAGTAGAATGTCATGAATTTAGATCGTAGGTGGAAGTCTTATAATGTTTTGTTTCATGCTTTTGTGGTCTTTGACCTTTTTTTGAAGATTATTCAAATGAAAATTTCTATTAGATTGATTGAGGATGGTAAAATTGTTTTTGATGAAGGTTTAGAAGCTCTTAAATTATTTCGAGATCGCTAGCGTGTCCAAAGTCTATAAAGTGTGTCGAAGTGATCTCGTTTTAGCAGTTTCAAGTTAGTAAATGGACTTTAACTTATATATCATTAAAGTGCTTACTGTTCCTTACTAATGATGCATTATTACCGATAAGATTGCCTGGCTGAGCCGCTATAAACATAGTTTGAGTAGCTCAAAGTTGAATTCTGATTGATACATCCTTAACAAAGACAAAATAAGACTACATCCATAGATCCTGCATCACTGAAATTGAAAAAACTTCAAAAAAATAATTGAAAATTTCCCATCCAAAAAGGATCAACAATCCACAAAAAGATAATCGAAATGCACAAAATTTCCAAAAATCATTCAACCAATTCTTGTTGATATTGCTCTTTACCAAAAACCTCTCGAAACCACTCCGAAAATTGCACATCAACATTCCGAAAAACTGAAACAAATCGATAAGCCACAGATAAATTTCCAAAAACTTACTCAGCAAAGATTTATTTTTGTTTCTGACAAACTTTTTGCAGCAAATCTGATGGTAAAATGTTGTCAAACTAATTTAATTGAAGCCAAACGAAGACATTTGGAAATTCAATTTCAAGTTATTGGTTTAAAATTGCTGCTTTTTTAAAAGATGAACATAAATATGACAATAATCAATTATTTTAAAAATTGGGGCTTCAGATTAAATTCATGTCATTGTTTCACCATGTAAATCCAAGAGCAATCAGTTTAATTGCAGGAAAGGATTTAAACAGTTTATTTTTTGCTTTAAATTTCATTCTCATCTGATTAAAATTTTATGAATGCACAGATTTCCATTTCACGTAGCTTTTTTGCAGCATTCACAACCCACGTAACCATAAGTCGACGAATGGAAGATTTTATGTATTACATCAAAATCTTCCATGTATGTTCCATATGTACATTCCATGTATCGTACATTGGACATTATGCTAATATGAAAAGGGACGATTTTTAGTCGATTTTACGTCGATTTCACGTCGATTATTTTTTTGAACCAAAATCAAATTTTTTTTGACCGTTACAATATAAAAACCGATTAACGGAAAAATTTTGAATTTTTTGTATGAAAATATTTTTTGTTAATAATACTATAATTTGTAGACAAGATCCAAAAAAAAATTAATTAAGGATTTTGTCTTTGAAAAAAAGAGTCGAAGTCTTCATTTAGATGAATGATTCGCATGTAATTAATTTAATTAATTAATCACACTTTGTATGAAAATTTGGCTGTGCCTTATATAAGTGATTTCTGATTGCACTTGTGAAGTATATAGCGGCTCAAGAAAAACGAATGTAATGGATGAAAAATCGACGTCTATTGGATCATCCAAAAAATTGTACATTTAAGTCGATTTTTTCATTGACGGCGATTTTGGTTACGTGGGAAGCATTTACGTGCATCTGCATTGTTGAGATAACACATCAGCAAGGAGAATCAACATGATGGAAACTTTTTTATCATGATTATAAATTTGTCATAATCAGTCTTGCTGAAACATAAAATAAAAATTGCTTAAAAATGAGGAAAATTCAAAGGCAAAAAATATTTCATTCTTGTGCATTAACTTGAATTGAAGGAATTGAGATGAAAAATTATGTATTAAAGGTGGAACCTTAGTATGAACTTAAATTAGAATCTAATTGAGGTTCGGACACTAGTCAACCTTTTCATAGATGTTAAGTTGGATCAAATTTTAACGAAAAGAAAATAATTTTTTAAAAATAAACTTTCTGGCTTCATCACTGCATACATACAAATCTGACAACTCTGAAAATAGCTACAGCACCTCTATAATGATTATCATCGATTATGTTAATGGAAATTACATTGAAATTTTCAATGCAGATATTTTCAATTCAACAATTATTCATTTTTAACAGCAATTTTCCCACAATTTATTGATCGTTGATTCTTCATCTTTTACATAAAAATGAAAATCATCATGATTATTGATTTGCACAAAAATTTGTATCTGATTTGTAAAAACCGCAAATAATTATTTATTCTGATATAAAGAACAGTTTTCCAAGAATCTTTCAGTATTGACATGACAACATTAAACTTTTTATATGTTTGTGGTGATAAATTACTGAAAACTGGCTACAAATGTTAAAAAATTGATTCTAGAATATGGAAATTCTATTTGGAATCTGAATTCTTGCAGATGATTGGATTGTGAAGCATTGAACAGATTTCGTAGCCTTAATTGAAAGATTTCTTTACTAAGAATCACTGATGCTTACATCAAACAAAATTCAATTGAAAAAACAAAGTTCAAAACTATTCTTTGATTCACAAAATGTTCATAAAAGTTTTAAAAACTTTAAATTTCAGAAAATATTCATCACTGCCTAGAAATCATACAATTTAAAGTCAACAATACGATTGCTAAAGTTTCCAGATCATATTATGTAACTCGTTCTTACAAAACTAGCTTCCAGTGACACCATAAATCATAAAGCGTTTCAGAACGATAAAGTTTTGAGCAATTTCAATGAGATTTTTATGATATGCTAGAATGGAAATACTTGAAAATTATTTCTAGTCATTATAATTTTAAAATTATATGATAATGAATGGAATTAACATCATTATCAATTTTGGGTTTCATCAGATTATCATTCGATTAATTAGATTGATTTATGATAGTTCTTGAGTTCAAGTTACATCGATGAAGTGTCGGCTTTAGTTTCAACTAGCTTGGTCTACTCCTCATTGGACTCAATATAAATATAGCAATAATCTTTGTGGATCAATAACTTTACGTCATTCAGAACTCAAAACCTCATTGAACAGTTCCATAAAATCTTCAATATTTGTAATAATCCATCCATAAACTGAAACTATTCATCTCTTGAGCTTGAAACTCAATTTCAATTTTTAGAACTAAATCCATCCACATATTGACTCAATACTCAATATTGCCTCTAATAAAACGAACTAAAGCTGAAAGCTTTACCTGAAAAGTTTGAAAGTGTCATCATTCAACATCTATTGGCATTGCTTTAATCCTCAAAAAAATATTTCCACGTCCAAAAAGTTCAATTTCAATTTTTTCTCTGTAAGCTCTTGAAAAAGTTTTATTACATCCAGTTCTCAATTTATCATATATACACATATGCATTTGCTGGCGGTAGCTTTCAATTGAATTATGGTGTAAAGGAATCCCTTTCGATCTCTTTCCATTCCTCTCAAATCTTTTTTTTTGCACTTTTGCCGGAACAAATTTTTTTTGGAATTTCTGCATCCTGCAGTACTGTCGAAATGGTAAAATGAAAATACAGAGATAGAAATATATTTTTTCACAAAAAAAAATAAAGATGAGAATTGGAACATGCAATGAATTGGTAAATGTGAGCAGTCATGCCAACACCATAATTCAATTTACAACTAAAAGAGATGAGGAAGAGTAAAATAAAAATATAGCAAGTTTAAATGTCGCTGCTAATATTGGTTTTATTGCATTTGATGCATTTTTGGAGGTTAGAAAATGAACAACTCAGTTTAAGGCTCATTTTGGACCAAACCTAGCTTAAGATTTGTTACTAGCCCTTAAGTTGCTCAGTTCCGAATTAGTTTAAACCTTGATCTGGATCAAAGTTTATCCAAATTCGAGGGGTAAACAACTTTAGTTATCACTTCTTTCCATCGTGTTGATTTCCCCTCGCCTGAATTTGAACTATTGTTAAGACACTAGAACGATTTTACCTTCCAGATTATTAATCAATTTGACCCCAAGACCTCACCATATTCGAACCCCAACACACCAAAATGGTTCACTTATCCATCCAAAAATGCTGCTAAAATGTACTTCATATGCTACTCCTGTACATCTGCAGTGGAAATAAAACAAGTTTAAATAAAATTTCTTCTCTGTTTCGTTTATTTTTAGGTCAAATATTTGGGTAGTCAGCATTCGAGAGGATTATGGGGAATTAAAAACACACGTCGACCCGTTGATACCCTTGTAAGATGCACGACACTTTATTGACTTAAACATTGATACTAAATATCCCGTTCATCTATCTTTTTTTCAGGTTACAGTTGCCAAAAATCTTCCACCAAATAAAACATTGCCATTCTGTAATTTAATAGTTAAGGTTGACGGCGTACATATTGACACATTACCAACAACATCTGCATCATCATCTTCATCTTCATCAATAATTAGTCCCATGTATTGGCCAATCGATCAAATATCCTACGGCGTACAAGATTTAGTCTACACACGTGTCTTCGCAATGATTGTAGTTAAGGATGAGAATCAACTAAGGAGTGAAAATCCATTTGAAGTTCATGCATTTGTATGTGATAGTCGTGCAATGGCACGTCGTCTTACTTATGCACTTGCTGCATCCTTTCAAGAATATTCAAGGAAAGTTAAAGAAGCTGAAGAGAGTAACAATAATAATAATAATGAAAGTGTGACTGATTCACTGATTAAGAGGAAATTTGCCATAGATTTGAGGACACCTGAAGAAATGAATCAATCGCATGAAACGGAAGCTTGATGTGATTGAAAGTTTTGTAATTTATGCTAGTTTATTTAAAGTTTTAAGGATGATTTTAGACAGTTTTGGTGCAAAAATAGTTTTTATAAATTGATTTGAAGGAGTTTTTGAAATGAGCTGGATGTGGAGCTGCTGGAAGAGTTAAGGGATAAGCTGCGAGAAGTAAGCCCATTGATGATTTTGGCTATAGAAATATTGAATTTTCCAGCTAGATTAGTCATAAAAGACCAATATAATGCAAAGCATATAACAAAAGTTCCTTAAAAGATCCATCGTCCATAAATTCATCATTACAGCACATCGTAAAATGCCGCCAAATTTGACAGCAAGCAATCATGCCATTTAATCAAAACATATATAACTGATAATCTTCTTATGTCAACTATATTTCAATTTTTTCTTCATCTCTCTTGTCAGCAGTCGTATGGATACAGTCAAGTCCAGTAAGAAAATATAAAAAGTCATATTAGGATGCGAGACCATTGCCAATCGAATCGATAAAACAAAGTGATTTATTTTCATTTTATTCACTTTCATTCTCTCGAGATAGCAAAATAGGAGAAAAATGGAAGCTTATTAAGTCACTTAAGAAGATTCTATTTCATGAAAGTGCCTTTCCATTTCGTTTGTCGAATAAAGAAAATCGGGGGGAAATGGAATAAAAAATTGCTGATTTACGATTAAGGAAAACAAAATAAAGAAAAAGGCAAGAAAAAAGAAGTTTTAAATGAGTGTCAATAACGATGTGCTTTGGGGCAGTTAGTGCGTGACCAATCAATTCCTTATTTTTTGTCGTCTTTTGTTGTACGATTTGAGAATTAAGATAAGGGATGTTGCTGTATCTGGTTTAAAGTTGTTTATTTCATTGTTTAATGTCTGAGCAAACTTAAAGTTCAAACTTACTAGAGATGTTAGTTCTGTAGATTTATATAAGAACATCAAGTTCCAAGCCTAACCCATTCCAATAGCTTTAACAACAACATTTCAAAGTATCAAAAAATCAAAAATTTTAAGTCATAAATATTCAAATGTGATTCTAATAATGATGCATTCCCCACAATTCAAATGACAGCAATAAACAGCATAAAGAAAAAGTTATTCAACGACAATTTTATCAAGTCGAGAAACATTCAAAGTTGTTGCATTAACAATGAATAGTAAAATTAATAATTTATGTATAAACTTTTTCCTTCCTTTATTTCCATAAAGCATCAATTTTGTATATATAATGTAAAGAGGATGAAGACGAAGTCAGAATAGATGATAGCTAAGATATTTAGGTAACATATGTAAGCTCCTTTTGTGTGAGATGATGAAAGATACCAAATATTTTATAGAATAGATGAATATTTTCATGAGAATGATCACAAAAATTGATAGTATTGGATATTAGAGTTAAGAAAACTTATCGGATAAATAAAGAAAGATGAAAAGACAAATGAATCGAGAAAATGTGTGTTTTACTTCGGGCAATTTTTCTTTTTTGATAGTTCGTGAGCTTTAATAGCGTTAAAGCTGTTTATCCCGGGGATTTTAGTTGAATCTCGGATCTTTATTATGTAAGTTTTGGTTCTTAAAGGTTAATATTTAAGAAAATATTGATTTATTGAAGTCCGCAATTCAGGACCTAGCGTATACCCCAGAAACAGGGTTTTGAGGACATTATAGGTATTTATGCATTTTAATATTACAATGTTTGCTGATTAATATATTTAAAGAGTTCAAGCAGCAGCTATTTTCATTCTAAATGTCAATTTGTTTTAAATTGATGATTTTTGGCATTTTAAACATCCAGTTGATTTATTTATTAATAAGGACGATTGAGATATTGCAATTATGTACAGTTGTATGTCTTAGACTATATCAATGCAATGTTCTTAACCACAATTTATGGATTATGAATTCTCACGTTCCTAAGCCTTCATCTTTAAATCTAAATTGAGCATGTTAAAGTCAGCAAATTCTCATCTTACCCACAAAATCAATAAATCCTATAAAATTAGTAACATTACTCAAACCTCATATTATCAAGAGAATCAATTTTACTTGTTTACATATTACCTGCTGCTTATCATAATTGGAAATTCTAATTTTTTTTCTGATAAAACACAAGCAACCCAAAGGCTATTATAAGATCCACAACTAGTAATATACGACTTTAAGTTTCGTATTTCTATTCATCCCCTTTTGTAGAAGCTCAAAGGAACAACAACAAAAAAAAACAAAACTTTTATCACACATGAGAAAATTTTCACAAACTAATTTCTTCATCTTCTTCCACCTACGCAGCACAAACACACAAAACATTTTTTTTTTGTTCTAAAAGTTTGATTCTATTCAAGGTTATTTGTATCAGAAGTAGAATAAGTGGAATAAATTGCCAATGGCAATGAAAGTGGAAAGAGTGAGTAAAATAAATCGCACAGAAAGGTAGTAAAAAATAAAAAGGGAGATAAGAAGCGAGCATATAAGTTGTGTAAAAAAAATGTGATGATTTTGGGAAAAAAAGCAAAGCAATGAAATTTCTCATGGGATCTAAAATGACTTTATTTCCTTTTCTACCGTCATGTTTGTCACAAAGTAAACAACAAGACGATGAAAAGGAAGCGAAATCCCTAAATTCATGTTACAGTGTTCTTCTTCCTTTCTGGCGCTTCAATGGCTATAAATATGCGGAACTGAGGAAATATAGTCTAAGCAAATATTGCTAGAGGGCTGTCACTTATGACGTCCAGGGGGGGGGGGGGGGGGGGGGGGGGTCAGCAATAGAAAAGAACAATAGAAATTGCTAGAAATCCATTGCTAATTTTTGAGAAATGACCGTTAATCTCGGACGTCATAAGTGAACGATCCTTAGGATGCATGCTTAAAAAATACATTATTAATGATCTTGCATATGATATAAAAACTTTAATATTCTTTATTACTCTGAAGTTTCTGTTCAATTTCTATTCTCGGCCTATCCGTTAAAGTTTCGAGGCTGGCTAAATCACTTAAATTCCGATGCACTACATAAAATCAGTAGGAATTTCAATCCTGCAATAAAATTTATAAGTTTTTCATATTAAAATATTCTGAAACCTTTTATTTCAGTTCTAATGCTTAAATTGATTCAAGACATAGACTTTCTCTTTCCATACTTTAATTCATACTCCGACAGTTCTTCAGGATGTTGCTTCAACTTATGCTTCCTTAAATTTGCAATATCAACAAAGCCCCTTGGACAAAATTGACATAAATGTCTTTTCAATCCATCATGAGTCGATTCGTGGTTCTTAAGATCTTTCTCCCATTTATATGCAGAACAACATCCTTCATAGCTACATCTGTAATTTTTCTCGTTTGAATGACTTATCGTGTGTCGCTCCAAATGATTCCGATTGTGAAATCGTTTATCGCATTGAGTGCAAGCAAAATTAAGTTGTTCCTTTGGCTTATGAATCTTTTTGTGTGACTGAAGACTGATTTTGTTCTTGAAGACTTGATTGCAGATATTACATTCAACTAATTCAGTCGTGTGTGATACGAGATGTGATCTTAAATTTGATTTTGTTGAGAATCCTTTGGTGCATAAATGACACAGAATAGTCTTTTGCCTTTCATGGACAGTCGAAATGTGGTTTTTAAGGCTGTACTTGTTAGAGAGCTTTTTCGTACAATACTGACATTCTAGTTGAAGATCGATGTGAGTTCGTCTGTGGTTTTTGAGCATTACAATGTCTTTGAATTGCTCATTGCAAATGTTACAGATGAATTCAGTCCTAGGCTTTTTGCTATGCTTGAATTTAATGTGAATTGAAAGGCCTGTTTTTGTTTGAAAGCTTGCATGGCATGTTTCACAAAAGAATTCAGCAGGTTCATCTGAATGCTTTCGTTTATGTGCCATAAGAGAATCCCATGTTGCAAGGTATTTTCCGCAGCTGCATGCTACTTGTGGTAAGCAATTGTGTATTTGTCTTGTATGATTTGATAGAAAGCACATCCTTTCGAAGGTCTCGCTGCACATATGGCAGTTGTAAACGTACAATTCCTCATCTTGTAAAGTTTTTGACTTTTCTTCGTTCTCAAAACTTTCACAAATGTCTGTTGACATCTCTTCAATCACTTCATAAGGCTGAATTTCATCAAAATCATTGACAGTCTCTTCTAAATAATCCTCTTCGTAAACTTCTTGGATCTCATTTTCTGGTGAATTTAATTGCTCAGTATCCTCGCTGATGCATTCTTCCCATAAATATTGTGCTCTGATGGCATAAATCCTGTCATCAGTAAGTAAATTTGAGCTCTCTTCTTCTTCCAGTTCATCAAACATGCTGTTAACAATTTTACCTCTCGATAAAAATCGTTGTAGCTCCTCAAATGAAGTTTTGCATTTCTCACATGATCTTACATCATAATTGACATTTAATTTTATGTTCTTTTGGAATAAGTCATAAACACTCTCATCAAGTGATGTTATGGTCTCGGTATTTTCTGTTGATCCACAAAATTTACACCAATTTCTCCAGTCAATGGTTGGTTCTGTACATTCTTCGATTGTATCAGTTTCTTGGATCTCTTCAACATTATATTCATACGCAATGTCTGTGCTCTGGATGTTTGGTTCTGCTGTTGCTCCAATATGCTTAGTTGTAGTGTTTAGTTTACTTTTAAAATCACTGATTGAGATTCCGTTTCTCTTAAAGAAACTGAACAGCCATCCATTACTGGCAGCAAAGTTTTTGATATTCATTTTAACTGATGTTTCGAGTGCAACTGACTTGATTATATTTCCAGTAAGCTTCTCGCCGTTTTCACGAGCTTCAAAAATGTAATTCAAAATTGAAGTTTCCAGCTCTGGGTTTTTCGTTTGTTTTATTCGTTTATGCTTCGATAGCGTCTGTAATAACAAAATAATTAACATCTTGATATCCTTAAATGGTTCTTTGGCTAGTTGTACTTACTGGATTCTTGCTAACTTCTTCACGAATTTTATTTCGATTTTTCAAAATATAATGAAGTGAATTTCTATTAATTCCAGTCTCTTCTGTCACATCCTTGATACTTTTACCATTCTCTATCATTTCAATCACTTCCAGCTTCTCCTGGATCGTTAGAGACCTCATTTTTACTGTCGATTCACTCATTTTTGATTAATTTTATGGAAAATATTTTAATGTTTACTTTTTGTTGTACACAAAATGGCGTAGTTTTGTTTCCTTCGAAAGATTTTGAAAATCATAAAAACGTTAATTCTTTTTCTCAATAGTTTCATATTGTTGCTGTTCAATTTGAAGTAAAGATGTCGCTCCATGAAATGCGAAGGAATTTTCGTTATTTATATACTGTCTCCTAAAGGAATATCAAGCTATGATCTTTGTTGATTAAGAAAATATGACTTGGGAAGCTGTAAAACAAACAAAATTAAAACAAGCCATTCTTGAAATTAGCAATTAAATTCAGATTAGGAAACACTGTCTACTGCAGGATCGATCAAAGTTTTCAGCATCTCTCCTAAAGTTGATCAGATTAAAGACAGATGCAGACAACTTTAAGGAACGATCAAAAATGCACATTCGAATTTCTAAATCTAAATCAAAATTTTATTTAAAATTCATCAAAAAATTTCAATTTTCTTCAAAAAGCTTTGAAACTTTTTCACATAATCATAAAATATACACGAGTAAGTACAATTCTTCATCTTTTTTCTTTGTCTAATTCAAAACAATTAATAATAATTTCATCAAAAACTATTTAGACACTATTATTATTGCTTCACAGATAAGAAGAAAACATAATTCATTCATCTTAGCTACAATTCATTGAGGGAAAGAATATGGAGGAGAAAATAATTCATTGTCTATGTTTTGTTGCCTTTTCTTTCGTTTTCTTTCAACTTTAACAATCTTTCTTACTTAGTTTTGCACAGCATTAAATAAATTTTTCTCTTTTATCTTTCGGTTTATATTTTTTACTATTAATTTAAAATCTTTTCATTCGTTCTTGTAATAAGGAGTAAGGATTCTTTTTTATTACTTTATAAGAACAGCAACTACATCTATCTTTTTAAGGGGAGATGATGAAGAATTTTTTGTGGGTTTTTGAAGATTTTCTTTTGAATTTTAGCAACTCGATGAATTTGAAGTTGAACTAAGTTCAATCAAGAAAAATTAAAACAAGAAATTTATACGTTGAAAATTAAGTTCTTTGTAGGTTAAACCAAAAACCGTGTTTTTTAAGTTCGTTTGCTTTTAAGAACTTAGTTATGAAGTTCAGAATCCTTATAAAATGAGATTACTATTAAAGAAATTAAAATCATCTTAAAAAACCCTCAAAAATTTCCTCAAATTCATGCTGTAAACTATTTAAATTAACATTTCTATTACATATAAGTCTTTTAAACTCTAGAACTGTATGATTTTGAAATCTTCTTTGATACCCGCAGCAGGAATTTTGGACATATCAACATTTTATTCTTAAAAGAGATTTTTCTTCTTTCCAAATTTGATAAATTTTTATATTTTTTGGGAGATTTTTATATTTTTTTCATCAGTATAAAGTTATTTATTTTTTGTTTACCACTAATTTGTAGGCATTTCTCATTCAATTGCACTCGATTTCTTTCACATTATAAACAGATTGTAAATCATCTTTATTCCATTTTTCAGATACACTTATCGAACTAATAATCATATGATTTATTTCGTACATTTTAAGAGTAATCATATTCAGTTTTAATTGCGTTCAGTATTTTTAAATTCGTCGGGTTTGATTAATGATTTCTTTAATAATGGAATGAGTGGATTTGTAAATTGATTAAAATTGTGGGAATAAATCATTTTTTGGATATGGATCTTGTCAGGATCTTGTGGTTTGAGTTCAGTTTATTTAAGTATAGAAATTTGAGATTTTTAAAGTTTAAATGAGATTTTAAATTGGAGATTATTCGTCATTTTGTAACATAAAGTAAAAGTTTTTTTAATTTATTGGAATTTCAGGATGGATCTTTCTGGAGTTTAGTCTGATATCGATTTGTGTAAAGCTTGTCCAAATTTTACGAAGTATAAATCTTTGGACAAAAGTTGAGATTTCTAAAAATGATCTTACTTACATAAGATTTGGTAAAGTCTATAATACAGCTCTATTTGAGAAATAAGATTAAAAAACGTTCAGATATCCATGAGTAATCAATTTCCCAATCCACAAAGCCACTCCAAAAATATTTCAATATTTCATCTAAATGGATTTTCTTAAAAATTTTGTCATAAAATTTAACAGTCAGTGAATTCAATGGAACTGAATATTGAAAGAATAAATAGAGATGAGAGTGGGGCAGAATTTGTAGCATATAAGTACATTGTTTTGAGATTCGATTAAAGATTATTCTCAGTATTTTCTTTCTTCTTTTTGTTTATCTTCATCTTATAGGAACTAACATCGTTCTGTTGTTGCATATTTCTATAAAAATATAATTCTTTTTTCTTTCATAAACATTTAATTTTTTTTATAGCTTTTCTATTTTTTTTCCATTTCATTTTAAAATATTTTCACAAAGACGTTCTTTTGAGATTAAAATTTTTAAAAATATTTTCGTGGAAATTTTTAAGATTCATTTATGAGTGCCAAATTATTGGTTCCTCTTTCAAAATAAGATTTTTGAGTAAATTCTAAGCAATGCAAAGTCCTAAAGATAAAACTACGATTGTATGAAATTAGATTTCCTAATTCTCACAAAGTTATGAATATTGCCAATATATGATTAAACTTAAGTTGCTAACATAAAAGTCACAAAGTTTAATACTCAATGATTTGGAATACTAATTATAAAAATTTCTAAGAAACTTTTGGAATGCTAATGGAAGGGTTAGTTTGACTAATATGTTGAAATCTAGTTTTAACAACTCTTAAGATTTAATTGCTTTGCAGATCTATAACAACATAGCAAAGTAATATCTAATAAATCAATTTTAATCCATATTTTACTAATGCAATAGATTCTACGATTAATGAATAGCTAATCGAAGAAATTGATCATATCAATTGTAAGAAGTTTAAATCGATTCTAATGAATCCGAATTCAGACAATTCTAGAACTTAAGATTCTAAATTACAAGAAAATTAACTATTCAATGGCAATAATCATAACTTTGTAACGCAATGCTCGATTCCATACACTCCTAAAATTCAACAATACGTAACGCAAATTTATAGATTCTAATAACGAAATTAATAATCAGAAAAATGCTAAAAGTAAAAAATAGAAATTTTTAAACATATTTTTTTATGTATTTCTTTTGTAGTGTGATTAAAACGTCAATTGCGTCTTTACATTCACAGCACATTTTCTACTTTATCGTTCGTCATAATTCTGTGAGCTTTTCCTAATTTATATTTCATTTTTATAACTTTTTAGGTGTTTTTGGAGTAGAAGGAATTTTCATCACATTTAGAATAACTTTTGATAGACTTTTTTCTGTATCTTATGTCAATTCTTTTTTTTTTAAAAAAATTCTCTTTATATTTTACAAAGTATTCCTTAGTATGAGGATGTTTGCTTATGTCGTCTATAAAAATAAGGTTTGAACATATTCCTTTACTTCTGGGGTTAATTAGTCAGCATTCAGGAGGATAAACATTACTATTGGAGTTAAAGCCCTAAAGTTATAGCCAAAAGCTGCTCTAAAGCTGGCCAAGAGTTGAAGCCTAAGATAATCCTAAAACAAAGCAACCAACCAACCCCTAAAGTATCTCATAGCTTTAAGCTGACCCTAAATATTAGACATCATAAGTCAACAACCCCATACAGCTTGTATTCTCTTAAATTAATTAACAAACACACACAAATACCTGTGTGAAATTTTGGCTAAATGTCATAACATTCATAAATCCGTTGTTGGGGTGTCTTTATGCTCCTTCGTCGTCTCATCCAACTGATTTTCCTCCTCAATCTTAATATTTAAATCTTTTGAATTAGTCCTCCTATGTCTCAGTATTGTATCCTCCTCAGCAATAGCTGTAACGGTTGAATTTCCAACAATATTATTTGCACTGCCCTGTTCCTCATCACATTCCTCTTCATTTAATAGTAAGTCATCATTAATTTTTTGGTTGGTTAATTTTTGATGAAGTAAATTGATATCTACATGATGTGTCGGATCATAAGAATTTTTTCTCGAGTGATGTCGACTATTATTGCCGCTCGTACTCAGTAGAAATTTATTAGCCAAATCATTATCAAGACGGATAATTGCATTGTTAGGTAAAAATGAGAATTCTTGTCCATATGAGTGATTCCTCATGTGACGACGTCGATTATTAAAATTCTTATTGAGATTAAAGTTACTATTGAGATTAGTCATTGGCTTCTTTAAGTGATTTACAATATATCTTATATTCGTATTCATATTCTGATTGTTAAGTTGATTATTGAGATATTCATAGTCACGCGAATTCGTTCTCGTATGTGTATTTCTCATCTTCCTCAATCGATCAACATCTGAGTTACTTGAATTGCTTCGCGTTATTTTCACGTCGCATGAACTGCTTCGAGCATGCTTCTGATGTGGCAATCGATTGTTCATCAAAACTTTATCGTCGGGTCTAAAATTGGTGTAACGGGATGGAAAAAAGTCAGGAATTATTTAAAGTTGCTTGGAAAAAAATCAAGTAAGAAAATTTTGTTGAATCTAAGGCGCATTTTTTGCTTCAAATGGATATTAATCAGGTATATAAAAGCTGCCTCCATAAAACAACATTTAAGTATGTCTTTAGTAAATATACTATGGAGGAGTAGATGTATACCAAGTTCGGGATAAGGGTAGGCACACATATCGTCCATGAAACCCGAATAGAGTCTCCGACTCAAATACCAAAAGATCACAACAGTTTAAAAAATTCAACAACTTACTTCAATTCAACTTGAATAGACTTTGAATCATTCCTCAAATGCCTTGCAGCCATCACGACACGTAAAGTTATATCCTCACAATCAATCATTTCACCTTGCGCTTCTTTCTCTTCAAACAATTTATCTAAACTGATGATCGAACCGACAACATCATTTGCCGTCAGCGTCTGTAACTTTTCAAGATGCTTTCGTTTGCTGACGAGCCACCAATCCACGGCAAATATTGTCAGTGCAACAACTTTGATTGATGTACACAATCCGATATATTTGAAACGGAACTTCTCAATATCATAGATGAGACATCGACCACCAGTCTCGCCGCAAGTCGATTTCCATAATAAGCATGAGGAATCGATTAAATTACCGAATAATATTGGTGCTGGAATATATCCAAACAATCGGAATATGACGAATTGCATACCTAATGCAAATGAGCGTTCTTCTTCTGATACAGAACGTAAGACAATCATAAGCAGTGGCATTTGAGTGGCAGCAACAATGAACGTCATAAAGAAGAGAAGTATAAGAAATGGGAATATCGTTCTGCATGGTTTATGGCAAGGACCAGCTGTCGCAACTGGTACTACAGTCACCTCCTGATAAGCATCGTCTGCATTAAGTGCATGCGCCTGTGCACCATCGATTCCTTCATAAATCTGCTTTGGAGTCACATTTTGATGGACACCTGAAAGTTAATGGAATTTATTATCGATTATTTTTTTTATGTCATGCAAAAACTATTGTCAAGGTCACTTACATGCACAGTCTGAATAATTTGAGGAAGATGATGAAGTACATCCTGCATGGCAGGGACTGTGAAAAAAATAATTAAAAATTAATTTCTCTCTGCTGTGAAAGTTTATAGTCATTATAAATTTTATCATACCTAAAGTAAGTCAGTCCATTGTTTCCGCATACTGGTTCCACATCAATCATATTACATTCGCATCCAAAATTACATGCAGCCGTGAGATTGACTTGAAATGGCTCCATATTATGTTGCGGTGTATTATTATAATAAGGTATTGTTGTACCAGCCATTTTAACATTATCACAACCAAGGAAGAACAGCAATCCATAGCAAAAAAGACATATGATATTTGAGACGAGAACAAATTGAACAGCGCCTTTGGGCTTCAATTGAAATCTTTTGAGGAAACATCCACCAATGAAAATTCCAATACATGCTCCGGGTATTGCAATTGATCCAGTAAATACACTAGCTTGACTCTTACCCAAGCTGAATTGTGTCTCGAGGTATTTTGGTAAGAACACCACAAAGCCACTCACAATCATCAATTCCATGCATGCACCCAAGCATGTCACGATATAGACGGGATTTGAAATTAATCGCCACATTGAGAGTGGAATGTCTGTAAAGCGATAACGTTTAATATTCAATTACTGAGTCTTTAAGCATAAAAGGTTAAATTAAAGCTAAGCAATTTTGATCTAAATAAAATATAGTACCATCATCTCAAGGTTTATTACCTTTTATATCCTTGCCATATCCACTACTATCCTTGGCATTATTACTGCTTGTTCCATTTGCTGTTGCTGAACTCTGCTGTTGCTGCTGTTGTTGTTGTTGTTGTTGTTGCTGCTGCTGTAACTGATTGGTCTGTTGAGGATTTTTCTGATGTGGTAACGGCTGCTGCTGACGTGGTAAGCTATTGCTCGAATTATGTGATGGAACTATTATTTGCTGACGATATTGCTCTGCTAAACGAATCTTCTTTTTCTCGTGAGTCAATACCTAGATAAAATTGAATTTTAAAGGTCGTTCATAATTAGGTTGAGTTTATGGAAAAACAGAACTTTTGGCATTAAGTTCATTGATTCGTAAAAATTAAATAGTCTTCATGTAAGCTCCGTGCAGCATGTGTAACTGAATAATTTATATCTAGTGACATTTTAATATTTTGAAGACTTTATAATGCCTTTTTGGGACGAATGTGTGATGAATATTTAATACTTATTTTCTTACAATTGATGTAACATGAGTCTATGTCCTGTAATTTACATGGACATCATGGAATTGCTTTTGTTGGCATTATAACGATAACTACCATCCATAAAAAATTAAGTAGATTATCTTTATTGGAAATAAAAGATAATCGGTTTAAAGTTTCAATGGTCTTTAGAATCATTGATGATTATTCTTTGTAATGGGATAAGACTCTTGGATTTATGGTTTGGACAAAATAGTTGAGGTTGAGGAATATGTGAAGAATTTGTTAATTTTAAACAAATCAAGATCAAAAAATAATTCAAACAAATTTTAAATATAAGATCGCAATAAGACAAAGGTATCATTTCATTGATCTGATCTACCATTAAGCTACGTCCTTGAAGTTGACAGAGTCTATTGACATGAAGCTTTTATTGATAATTTTTAGAAGATATATTTCATAATCTCTATTAAATCCATCAAGTCTTATCAACAAAGCAACAAATAGATCGATCAAGAACCTTTCATGCTAATCACTAAATGTGTCAAATTCGTCATTTCCTTATGTAATCATGTAATCTATTTAATATAACTATTATCGCATCAATTCATTGAGATTCACAGATTTCGTTTATTTGCTAAGCAAAATTAACAAGTAGACTCAATTAGCGCACTTTAAAAAAAACTTTGTTGATAAGAAAAACTTAATTGTGAGGAACTGAGTTTTTAAAAACAATTAAGTTTGAGGAATTTACGGCTTGCTAATTGTGGGATTTCTTTGTTGCTTAATACACAGGAATATTGTTGGATGTAATAAACACAATATTAATTTATAAATAAAAATTCATATGAAGGGGTTAACAACTATAAAAGGGGTGTAAACTAATTATCAGAGATCGAAGCCGATTTTTTCGGCTTAACTCAATTTTTGATTATTTTGATAGAAAAAAGCCATTTAACACCCATTTTAAGTATTTAAATTGAACTTTACATGCTTTACTATGATTCTGTGAAATATTTTTTCAGCATGTAGCTATAGTAAGCTCTGAATTTCAATTCAGCCGATTTTAAGCCGATCGGCTTAAATTTCGGCTTAACATTCTTTAACTTGAAATTCTGAGCTCACTATAGCTACATGCTGAAAAAACATTTCACAGAATCACAGTAAAGCATGTAAAGTTCAATTTAAATACTTGAAATGGGTGTTAAATGGCTTTTTTCTATCAAAAAAATCAAAAATTGAGTTAAGCCGAAAAAATCGGCTTCGATCTCTGCTAATTATAGTTGCATACATAATTTGAATATTAATTAACCGTTACTATATTTTTAACAAATTTAGCAAGAATCTGAGAGAATTTTTATAACTTAAAGGTACTAAAGAAAGGCTCATCGTTTGTGTGTTGCATTCATAATCATCTGAACTAGCTACTTTAATTCCTGCCAAATTTAAAGTCAAAGGTTAGAATCCCAAAGAAATCTATTTTCAGTATTAAATTTAAAATTCCAGCCAATAGTCGTCACCGACATCTGACAGAACAAGTTATTTATAGACAAACTCAATTTTTTACACATTTCAAAAACGTTTCTAAAGTAAAATTAAAATTCAAGGACAGTATTCTAAATGAATTAATTTAGCCGTTCCTTAGATCCAATTCTATAAATTACAAGATCCAGTTTAATTAATATAATTCCACCAATTCGCTATAATGGCGTCATTGCAATGTAGGTTAGATAGAATTTTGATTAAAATTCAATTTAAGCACAGACATTTTAATTTATTCAGTCAATTTCTGTCAAATTCGTTTCATTAATTCAAAGTTCTTGTAACTGGAAACAGTTGCTAGAGATAATTATCTTCATGAAATGTAAACTTTTCGAATCTGTCTGTGTTCATTAAAACTTTTTCGATTTTTATGAAAGTTTCATTTTTTTTTCTTAAAAAAACACAAAATCAATTTGCTTTCTTGAGGATTGTTGTAAGTGATGTCTGAGATTTAATGGATTCAGACTGAACAAGAGATTAGTAAAGGTTGATCAACTGCGAAAGAGCACAAAAGTTTTTCAACTTTTCAAACTCAATTGATTAGTTCAAAAAATGTAGAATTTAAAGCCAGACATCACTAAGGAACAGCCCACTAATTTGCTTAATCAAAATATTTTCTCATTCTTTCTCTGTCCGCAATATCGAAAGACTTTCTATCTTATATTGACATATTTTCTATGGTAAACCTTTTTTATGTGTTATTTGAGTAGTCTATCTATTAAAATTCTCATCATTTCTCCTATCATAATCCTCAAATCTCTCATCTAGTCTCTTGTCTTGTTGTGTCGGACTCAACTCATCACATTCAGTCTGTAGACAAAGTTTTTTATTGTTTATTTTTCAAAAGTAAACTTAATTCTTCTTTATATCTAATAAAATCAGACATCACGTAGAAAATGGCACTTGGAATTGATTCAGTTATTTCCATTTCAGATAGTAACAATATCAAGTGTCTACGGCACCTGGGTATATTGAATTCTAATGGCAATAATGCGAGAATTGCAAGACTCTCGAAATGTCACTTGATATAATACATTTACAAGCTGTGGATATACATTATTAAATATTTATCTTACCTTTGGAAATGAGAAGAATGGAATGGCAACAATAATTAAAAGTAGGCCGATGAGCAGAAAGCCAAACCACCATAGTCCAATAAATCGTCTGTCTGTTGGATCTATATTAAGTTTGAAATGATACATCATTGGAAATTAGAGCATTACACAAATTTTTCCCTTGTGGATATTTTTTGACCCACTTTTTTGTGGGGTTTCATCATAAACTGATGGAGTTATGGCAGAAATCAATCATTTTGGTGATGAAACTTGAACAATGGAAGTGATCAAATAGCAAATAAATAAGTTTTAAGGTTGAATTACAAAATTCTTCAAAAATAATAAACAAAGTTTTTAATAAGAATCAAATTTTGTACAAGAAACATCATCTGTAGCCCGAGTACAGCATGACAATCTTAGATTTAATACTCAAACTTAACATATACTTAATCAAACCATGTTAATGCATTTAAACCCGAGCAAAACACAGACGTTCAATGCATATGCAGCTTAGGTAAGATTCTTCCACCTGTCAGTTCCATCAGTTATGACACAAAAATTCCACTTGGGCACTCAATCGATCTCAATACATACCTATATTAATAACATTTCCTGAAAATGCATCCATGTGGAATGACAACAGATATGCACCCAATAAGAAACCCAAAACCGGACCAAATGCAGCCATGCTGTACATGAAACCTGAGAGAGAGAGAGAGAGAGAGAGAGAGAAGAGGCAAGCATTAAAATTATTCATGAGTACACAATTTGTGGATTTATTTTGATTATGAAATTATTACCGATGTACATTGAAGAACTTTCATTCTTTACATGATCATCAACATATGTTGTTCCTAAAGTAAACAAAGGAGATCCGCCGCATCCGAGTAAGACTTGTGCGAGAACAAAAAACAATACGGGTCCAAATGTTGATGGTTTACTCTCCAGACAATTGTTCTCTCTGTTGGATGATTAAATTTAATGGTTAAAGCATGTCCAATAATTATGGAAGTGTTAAACGTACCTGAGATTATTATGTGGAGCAAGTGCTGGATTTGATAACTTGCTGATATGATGACCAAATCTTCCTAGTCCCATGTCTTGCTCACGTACAGACACCACACGACAAATATTATCTGCCGTTTTATTGTCAAGCATTATACTTGGATTTGTATCACCAATAAAATGTGGTATTGAAAATAATGTCGAGCCAATTCCCATTATCACCGCTCCTAAAGTATCCGCGATTATTTTTGGTAAATTTATTAGAAGAAGGAAAAATTTAAATTTAAAATTTCATTAAAAATTTATGATCGCAAAGTGATCTTTAGGCTATGAATATATAAAGGGGGAACATAGCTTTGTGGATAATATTTTTGTCAATTAACTGAGTTTTGTAAAACATACTAATTTTCGTTTGATTTAAATCAAGAGGGAATCAGCCAAGTGAGGGGATAACAACATGATGGGAAACTTATAAAAAAATTACATCAATTTTTTCCCCATCATGTTGTTATCCCCTCGCACTTTACTGTTGTAAAATCGATTGCTTGGTTGATTTCTCCTCAACTTTAAATTCCACACAAAGCTGTTATCCCCCTGCCTTTACATGCATATACAGAATAATCTTTATAGCCAAAAGGAAAAATTTATTGTCGTTAGATTAAGAATGAAAATTTGTTTCATAGAACGTCAAGAAGCATAGCTCAATTTTTAATATTTTAAAAAATTATTTTCTATCTATCAATTTGGCACACAAAGCACCGCCGGTAAAGTTCGATCAGCTCTTCGCCAAATAGAGCAGAATAATCGCAAAAAGCACGATTTAATTGCCAATGAATGTATTTTTATGTGAGAATCGCTGACCTACAAAATGTTAAGCTTTTGGGTAATTTTCTAATCTCAATTGAGCTTCATTCTCTGCAATAGTTTTAGTTTACAGGACATGACATTTTTTTTATCTATGGAATATACTGTTGGCTAGTGTAGGAGGGAAAGTTATTGACAATGGAACATTGTTGCTGTGTAATTGGATGTATAAAAATATATTGAGCGTTGAGGCTGTCCCGAGGTGTACATGTTTGTGAATTTGAAGTTTGGATGCCTGCGTGCACTATTTATGACTACTAGTAGCTAGGATGTGATACTTTTGAAAGAATTTCATAATTATTCAAGGGGAAACCAACTTGATGGGAAAATATTTGACGAAAAATTTCCAAAAAAGTTGCAAATCAAGATTTTGGTGCGAAATTGGTGAGAATTTTTCAGCAGAACTTTTTATCATCATGTTGTTTTCCCCTTGTTGCCTTAAAACGACTATATCCTCATGTGTAACTCGGTTAAGCTGGCCTGGTCATGTTTGCATTCTCTCATTTCACATTATAGTCAATAATAAAATCATGGCAATGAAAATCGAGTTCTAAAATTTCAGTGTGGCATAAACATTTAATTTTATTAAGTCAAATGAAAGCAAAAAATCTGCAATCTGAACCCAATAACTGTTTTTACTCATTCTGAAAATTGATATTCATAATTTTTATGATTTTTTTTTTCACTTGATGTCAGACTTGTAAGGAAATTAATGGCAATTTTTCGAAAAGCCACACAACCTCTCTGCCACTTTTCCACACATTCGATCGTAAAAACTATCATTAAAATTGCCATAAAAACTCAAATCTCTTCCACATATTTGCTTAATATCCACGCACATGTTCATGAAAAAAAAATATTTTTTAATTGTTATTTTTTTCTTCTCACATCCATATTCATGGGAAATGAGCCGTGTATCATGAGAGGACACTACTATCAATTTAGATGATGATGCAAAGCAATTTGTTGGATATCAAATTTATGTGGGCGATGAATAGATTAAAGCTCGCTCATTACTTCAAAAAGTCCCACACACGATCATATGAAGTACTTTTTTTGTGTTTTTAATGAATTTCATGTTTAGACAAATTGTGACAAATTGCTTTATAGAAGTACGCAGAGTAATCATGATTTGGAGATTATGATAAGGAAGTCATAGATTTGAAAGACAATATTAAAGTGATTGATGAAGTTTTAAGGGAGTTTATTGACTTTAGGTTAAAGTTTGTGTAGATTTATGAGGTTGTTATGGTCAGAAACTAGTGATTTGGACTCAATTTTGAAATGTTAATCAATTTTCAAGTCTAGCAGCTTTTGAAACTCTTTGTTATTGAACAATCTCTAGCTGCGAAATGCTATAGCTCAGTAATGGTTCAATAATCTTATTAGGGTCTGCTAGTTCAAATAGATTTCAATAATCAACCTGATTGAGTGTACTTTGCAAGAAGGGAGTAAGTATTTGCACTTTTCGTATTCTGAGGACACTCCTAAAAGGTATCATCAAGTTAACTAATGATCCTTAATCTCCACTGAGTTGGTTTTCCCACAATTCTAATTTTGAACTAGCATTCAAGCTAAATTCTACTTTAAAATTCATTTTTCCAACAAATCACCATAAAATCCCTAAATAATTTACAAGGGAGTATTCCCTGTCAACCCTAAATGTGCATGTGTAAAGCAAATGATACCACAATACTCAAACAGGTGATATACATGATGAAAACTTAATTTATTATAATACTAAAAGAAATCCCACCCAAAAAAAAGTGTGCTCTATTCCCAATCGATTTCCCATATATTTCATAAAACTGTGGTGGGATCAATTCATGTTCATAATTTATGAGCACAAAATACCTTTTCATTATCGGTTTTTATTGGAAATTCTTTCAATCTTTTATGTAATTTATTATTGTCTCCCGAAATAAGTTAATAAAATAACAACATAATTTGCAGAAGACCTTGTTAACGTCAGGCATAGAGCGTGCACTGTAGGAGTTTAAGGTAAAATCGATTACGGGATTTCATTATATAAAGACCAATATTTTCTATGTCTATACACACGGGAGATATAATTGACTTTTTTGTTGCTTTTATATGCAAAATTCTATTCATATTCAAAATATATCTCTCGTTCAACTCCCTCATGGAAATATAAATTAAATAGCTTTGAGCTTGTAAAAGAGAGAGGCAAATAAACTTTGAAGTATGTAAAGCTTGACAGATCAAAGCGCATAGTTTTGTCAATTTTTATATTGGAAAATTCGACTTTGAATCAGATAAATTTGATTCTATTGATATTCAGCTTTGCAGTTGCTATATTTGTAATATTAAGGATGGGCTAGTGTTTGGTATGTTCCATGCCTGTATTTATTTCTAAAACGACCGATTCTCAATTATTTTTCGGAGATCAAAGGATTGAATTTTGGAGGAGTGAAAATTAACGAATTTATGAACAATATTAAGTAACTTTGGGTCTGTTAAACTTTTTGATATTTCGATATAGATGCAAATTAGATCATAAAGCCAACAAATGATACCTTTACGATCGGCAGACATTGAAATGTTTTCCATCCGACGGCCGGGTTTTAAGTTTAATCAGAATCAAGCGGCAATCGCTTGGAAGCTCCAACTGGATGCCACTTTGTTCTAATTATACTATCAGCTCGGCTGCATAGAGACAAAGATCAAATCATCAAACCTATCAATTTGGCTTCTCACATCCATTACAGATTCTAAGCCAAAATAATAATCTCCACGACAAGATTTAAAGCCTAAAATATTAATTAATAAGCAATAGGTTCGCACTTCACAGTTTGACAACAACTGATCAAAATTTTCTGTCGAATCATGGAACCCTCCTTAAGTACCATAATGCACAAAATCCACGAATGCATTAAACATTTTAACAATTTACCAAACAGTCACTCAGTCAGAAAACGTGATCGAATCTATTTTTGTAAAGTAGCATTGCACCTTAAAAGCATGCAAAAATGTAACAATCTAGCAGAAAAAAAGTTACTGCAAAAGACATTGTTGTGCTCGTAAATTCTCTCTTTATAATGGTTCCAAATGTATAAATATAAATTGTTGAAAGAAGAAAATGAAGCACATAACAAGGAACAAATACACGTTTCAGGTTTGAGTCAAAACGAGTAGAAAAAGAAAAGAAGAAATTGTTAAATGCCAAATAATAGATCAATTACGTTATTCTCTTTAGCTCGCTTGGAATCGATCGATTTTAAATGTTTTGGATCGTGTAGGAATTAATAAATTAAAATTGGATTAATTATGGATTTAAGGAGATTGAGATTGGATATTAAAGTTATCATTTGCGTACTCGTGACTTAGCTTTAATTGTAACTTCAATATTCCCACAAATATTTAAAAATAACTTCGAATAACCCAATTAAAAATATTTTAAAGCACAGTAAGTGACTGTAATACTTTAAATTGTGCCAAAACACCTACACATGACCCAATAAGCAACAAAAAAAAAGAATCTTTCATTGCACCCTCATAAATTTTCATTCCATTTGAATTCATAAACTGAATATGACACAAATGCGTCTCTATCTTTGATCAGTTGTCTGTTCCATTTTATTAAAAAATATCAAAGTCTGAATAAAATAAATCATCCAGTCTCGAGTAATGCGAACATGCAAAAAAGAAATTTAAATAAATAAATTCAATCATCAAGAATAATGATTGATGGCAGTCGGGAAAGCTGTCAATTATTTACATAAGTCTCGGATGTTCTTCATAAATTTTCATTCTCAATCGTACGAAGATGTTAAAAATAGATTGTTGAACTTACCGATTCCAATCCACACTGGTATATGTCTCCTACTTCCCAAATAGCTTACAAATATCACTGTTATCACATTTCCTATCTCATAACATGACGCAATCAGTCCTGATAAGCTCGACGGTATGTCGAATCGTTTTTCTATTGTCGTTATCACTGAATTAATGTAACCCGAGCTAACAGCTTGTTGTAGTGTCACAAGCATTGATAGAAGTAATACAAAAATCTAGGATATGAAAGGATGAATGATTAATTAATAGTTACTGAATGGAATTGACTTGACATGATGCTCTTACCTTTATTCTTGCCAACTTCTGTATCCTAGCCGGTCTACATGACAAAATTCCGCAATCTCGTGATAATTCCTCATCTACCGTGTCAGTATTGTGAAAGGTTTTCTCACGATCCATTAAGCTAGCTGAGGGCTGGCGACTATGACATTTTATTACAGTTTCAGGTGCGGATGCTGTTATACATGTCGTCGTCACAGCTGGATTAGTTAAGGTCGTCGATACAGTTACACTTTGTGCTGCAACTGAACTCGGAAGTGAATCAGATTCTGTGTCTTGAGGCAAATCAGCACTGCTGTCGTCTTGCGCTTCAGAATATAACCCTGTCATCTCATATTGTGATTCTTGTCGCCTGAAATATGGAGAAAATTTACAATCGGTTCAGTAAGCACAATGGATATGAATATGTGAAATAGAAGCGTCATTGCCGTCGACATAAAAGCATACTATGCAGCATAAAGAGAATGAAATAGATCAAATAAAAAAAATTATTCTTTTTGCTGTCATTTCCGTCTCGTGAACTCAAGGGCTTTTTTTCTTCCATGCGACAATAGATTGTTGAGGAACGAGAAGATAGACAAAGTTAAATAGATTTCTTTTATCAACAATCCAGCAATTCAAACATCCTATATCATTTTCATTTCATTCTCTTTTTATTATTATTATGTATGGCAGGTTTGGGCAAACTTTGCTGCTCGTGACACATTGTGGATGACTTTTTCTATTGTTTTTGGATGTAACTTAGAGAATTGTAGGGTTTATTCATAAGTGATGTCTGATTTAAATTAGATTTTTGGATTCAACTCACTATACAGTCTTCAGACTCTTTAAAGATCCCAAACCACGACAAACATCAGACATCATACCTGCATGACCCCCTCTTCAGACAACCTTATCATCATCAGTGCAGCCATTCCCATTCAGTTTGGACAACAAAAAAAAATTAAATTTCTAACAACGATTGTTTAAACAAGTCGAGAATGAGATTAAAAACATCTGCGGTAGATAAGTAGCAGAAGATGTCAAGCGATACAAATGCTACATGCTAGAATGTAACGGAGTGTTTAGTTTTTACATCATCGTATGATGACAAGGTAGAATGACATGAAAAAATTCTCATAAACTCTGTACCTTCCTACGTACCCTTGAAGCATTTTATTTATTTTTGAGCTCGAATAAAAAGAAAACAAGAATTGAATTAATATTTTTTTTTGTCTTGCTTGGAGATTATTTCAAGTTTTTAATTAAGAGTACGAAGAAGTTGAGTCAGTTCTATGCAAATATGTATTTTATCATATAAATTAAGTTACTTTTACATCTGATACCTTAATGCTATGAAGGAAAAGTTTCGAAATTTTAACTTTTTCTCAAAAACAAATTTGTTTTTTGTCGGCAAATAAATGGACAAGTAAGAAAGTCATTAAAGATGCTGATTTAAAGCGCATTTTCAATTTAAAGCGAGACATTTCGTTCAAAACTGTTGAAATCAGTGGTCTTATACTTTAGTGTTGTAATCTCGTCAAAATCGAGACAGATCATTGATTCAAGATTCGGTATGAGAAGTCACAAGTCCCTTTTGTAATGAAAAGAACTAGGATTGAAAGCCATAGCCTTTCTTAAATGACTTCAAATCATGGTCGCATCCTAATATTGGTGTAGATTTTACTTAAATGTGTGGAGACTTGGATTGGGTTTTTAGGTATGCATCTTTGAGTATTCACTTGTATGACTAAGCTATCGATCTTTAGGATCATTATTAAATGTCACAAATACATCCTCAAATTTAAAAGCTCCTTGCTTGATTATTAATCTTAAATATTGAAGGCAATCGAGACAATGGAAGTATAGTCCATTAGAAGTTATCAGGACTAGATGATGAAGACGTACAATGTGTCATAATCGCTTCATTTAAACTAAATTACGGGAACAGCGCCAAAATCTCACCAAATAATTCTCATAAAGCAAGAACATTCCAAGAAGGTAAATCTCACACAAACAATCTACAGCAAGTTATTTTTCATAAGACTGCAAATTTCTTGCATGAGTAAAATTGAATTGGAACGTGATATAAAAACCAGCATAAATTTATGCACTGAAAAGCTTTCCGGAGGTAATAAATCACTAAAGAAAATTGTGTCAATGATTAATTACGTAATTTTCATCTCATATTTAATTTTTCAACATGATTCTATAATTGTAACTTATAAAATTAAATCTCCACACGAAGTTCTGCTACACATTTTACATTGTGCATGTGTCAAAAGATGTGTACATGATGAAATATTCATTGAATTTTGTTTAGACATAGTCTGCATGTGACTTGAGTCTGTATGTGCATTTGTGTATGTTTGAGGATTGCTCAAGATTTGATTTTAATTTCTAAACCACAAGAAAATATTCAAAAGTCTGGATTGAGCATGAATAAAATGAATAATGACGCATTAAATGACTCTCTCATGACATGTCATGAACAAACATGATGAAAGTCTTTTTTGTTGCTGGTAAAAGGTTTGTGTCCAAGAAGAAAGTTATTTACTGTTGTAATTCCATCTGTTTCCTCAAAATGTCCTCATGAGAAATGCTTTTCACAAAAAAAGGACACGGTAATACCCGGTAATACTTGTAAACATGAAGATTGAGATGTGAAGAAAAGTAAATAAGATTCGCATGTGAATGGAAAATGGACGAATATAATTTTAGGGATTTTTGTTCTCTTTGAGGTGTGAGCCAAGGGTTTTGATATGAATTTTGAGGTTATGTGAAGCAATACTGACAATCAGACCTCCTTGTTCTCTTAAAATGTAATTTAGTTTTGTTAACTTCAAAGTTGATTAATTAACAACTGGATTTTAAAGCTACAACTCAATTCCACATCCAGAAAGATCATGCATATACTAAAAACTTCAGTTAAAGTCCCAAGACATTGTTATTCCATCCTGAAGCTACCTTTAAATTACTTATTCCATCATCAAAACAGTCCCAAGTAATTCAAATTCAATTGTACAGCCCATCATCGACAGACACATCCTCTTCATCTCCATAAAAGCAGTCCTCACCCCGAGATGTTTGCCTTTCCATTGAAAACTCAATTTTCTTACTTACCGATGACCTTTTCTGTGACCATTTTGTGTATCTAAAGCAGCGGCACTGGTTGTTGTCGGCACATCAGTTTCATTGGCTTGTGGAAGCGCAGTCATCATGACTCAAAGCTTTCAAATTGTTATTTCCTTTTTCTTCCTTTTCACAGCAGATTGTAATTGATATAAATGCCTTTATCGTTTCTTCTTATATTATTTCCGCTTGAATTTAACGCCAAACATTTGTGGGGGAGACGTTTTTCTTGACAAGTTTTTTTTTCAGCTTTTGTTATTTATGCTTGTTAAAATTGGATTCAATTTCTACGAAAACCAAAAACCAAAATTTATCTGCAAATAGAAAAAAGAGAAGGGATAAATGTTAATGAAATTTGTGATTGGATTCAGGTTTTTTGTGCAAAGACACTCAGCAAAATTTAATGGAATTCTGTTATGGGTTTAGGTAAATAATCGCATTGTATTATTCTAGGAAGGATTGGAAGTTTAACTGCGTTGTACGGATATTTATTGTGATTGCTTTAATTTTTCATCGGAAGCAATACTTTAAATTGGAGGCAATTGACATAAACGTTGGATTTAAAATTCCACACACCTTTAAAGGGGTCCTTCGGATATTACGTGACGTATTAATTATGAATTGACTCATGGAACTGGTTCTTTGAGCCACCTAGGTTGTCATATAATTTATATAAATTGACTATGAATAAGGTTTTGTATCTGACTCTGGAAATTGATACCTTACATGTCAAGATGTTGTGACGGATGTAAGCAACGGTATCCAAAGTAACCCACAAAATACTAAATTCAATATTCCAGTAAACTCGACACACGTCTTGATTATCAACATGACAAAGACCTTGAACAAGTTCCTTTGTGCTCAGAATAGAAATAAAACTCATTATCGACTTCAGGTGTTCTTCTTCATACCAACTTAAAAATAAACCGAACATTGACACCTTCAACAAAAATCCAATTTTCTTTTCTAAGGCTTTAAGGCACGAAAGTTCAATGCCTACAAAATAGCTTCTTAATTCATCCATCCTCCAAGTAAGGGAAAGTGGGCTAAACAACAAACCAAACAAGATGTGAGTGAAATAGCGTGTACAGTGCAGGTAAGTAGAATGAATTTTGTGAATGAGTAAGCTAGAAAATTTGGGAATGAGAAAAGCTTGCAAAAAAATTAATGAGATGACAATGGCAAGGTCGAATGCTTTAGCTTGTTTAACAAATGTTTTGATTTTTGGGGTATGAAGTCTAGGTTAATTGTTGATTTGAAGTCATCGTCAGGCCTTTCTTCCACAACCTGAGATGCAAATATAATAAATCATAGGTTCTCAAACTATGGTACACGATACACAAGTGCTGTGCTCAACCTTTCTAGGGACCGGTTTCTTGGGCACTCTAGTGTATGAATATTGAGCTAGTTTAATCTTAAAGGCACCAAGTTCAAATGCCAAACAAACAAACAAATACAAAATGTCCTGGCTAGATTGCGTCATTGCCAATAATTACATCCTACATCACCTATGACTTTATGTCATAAAAAAAGCCAAAAAATAAGAACATTGCCATAACAATCAGCTTCAATTAGGTTTTAATTGTAATTTAATTGCCATTACTTGACATAAAACACCGCACGAAGTACGGATGTATTAATTACAAAAAAAGTTGTTCTATGCCTTTCTTCGTACTCGATGAGTTTATTGATTATTTTCCCATTCACTAAAAATAACAAAATCATAAAAGAGCATCAATCTTTTAAGCACTTCATGGCTTTGTTTATGCTGAGTATAAAAATAATTAATAAATATTATCAAAATGCGACAATAAACTTCATTGGCTAAATATTGAACTTCCTTTGTTTATTCTCTAATAAAAATAAATTAAACTGTAACTTCTGGCTGTTTTTTATTTTTCTTGAAAGGCTTCAACTGAACATTCGTGTATAGCTTAGTAAATAAATGTTATTGAACTTCCCCTCACTTTTTTTTTCGTGTACATTGCGGTCGGTTCTTCTTTTACAGTATCGTCAATTTATTTATTTTTTTGTGTTTATGCGAAATGATGACGATAATCTTTCCAGACAGAATAATAAAAACTCGTTTTATGCTTTTCGACTATCTTCATGCAGAAGAACAGTTTAGCCCGTAAAATAAATAAATATTTTGTACTGTGTAATTTGAGGATGATTGGATATGACGTCAATCGTTTGAACGGTATGAAGGGGGTCTGTGGTGAACCTAGGAACCTTGTATCACTCATGACGAGATTCGAACCTAGGAACCTAGAAAAGCTCATGATGAGATTCGAACTTTGGAAGTTGTAAACGCTTATGTTCTAGACTCCCAAAGCATCAAACTACTCTAAGCTAAAACCCTTCATAAAATCCAATAATTCGATTGACGTCATTTACAAACAACCCCACTTTCCTGTGCAGTATCGAAACATTTCGTTCTTCGTTGCATTTCGAATGGATGTGAATTTTAAGCATAAAATTTTTGAGCTCATAAAATATTGATGTGAAATGAAGCAAATGAATATTAAGAGCATAAGACCATATGGTACCTTATACAGTCTTTATGAATGAATTCGCAAAAACCTGCTTTATTGTGAGCATTTTATTTATTTTTGTTCAGACAACAAAATTATTCTAGGAGAGATGTTGTGCCTTTAAACATGTGAAAGAAGTGTCAAAAATAAATGAAGTTATCGCGACAGCGCATTTTCCTCTTGTAAACATATTCACGTGAATTGAGGCAAAGCACCGAAGGGTACAGATGTTTTTTTGCCATGTTTTAAAATGAAAAATGTTGCCAATATAATGTAAAATTGGAATGTTTTTGGAAGGAATTGGCAACTGTGTGATATTCATGTTTTCGATCAATGATAATTTACTATTGTGAAGTATGTCTCTCGATGGGGTTTTAATGTTGAGCTGGAACTGACTTAATAGTATAGTTGTGAACCAGCTTTAGTGATGTAATCATTGCCATATTAAGGATATATTATGTAAGAAATAATAAGAGGATCTAGGAGGAATCAAACCTAAATCTGAAACTCAAACTGACATATTTGTCTTTATACACAATATTCTACTCAGTTCTGTTCCCACATCAGATTGAAACTTAATTTACCATAACTAGTTTCAATTTAAATTACAGAATTGCCGAATCAAAGCTAAATAGCACCAAAATTCCTCAAAATTTATGATCCAAGTAAGCAAAAAATCAGCAATAAAAGTAACAAACAAAAGGATGCAACTACAGCGACAGCGTGACAATAAAAGATGGAACCGATATATACGATTGTATTAAAAAAGATTACAAGTAAGCAAATAGAAAGCACATCTGGCCTTAACCACAAAAATCACACTCTCTCTCACATGTTCTGGCATTTCACGGACGTCCTGCATTGTTTCTTATTTGCCTTGTAATGGGGCAAGGTAAAAAGTGAAATTCCCTCGTGACCAAATTTTAATACATTATTGAAACTATAAGGCAACAAACAGAAGCTACTTCAGCACGCAATGAATAAATAATTTTGTGGATTATTCCGATAAATAAAAGCATTGACTTACAATCGGAAATATTCACATTAATTCCGCAATGTAATATTAAATGACTTTATATTTTGTTGTAGCACTTGCGGCTTGGCGTTACTTTGAGTTATGAAATTTATGATAAATTGTAAGCTTATCACGACGTGTTTCAATTAGACTGACACACCAATGTTCGCTTTATGGGATCAGTCAGTGGGAAAATGTTCATGCTGCGTTTTGTTGTCTGCGCCTACATTTTTGACGGTGATAAAATAATTTCTATAGTTGTTGCAACATGTTGAGGATTTTTGCTAGAAGGACCAGCAACCAGCCCCAATTTCCAACAATCCTATAAACAATAATCCACATCAAAGCTAGTTCAATACCTTATTAAATATTCATAGTAATAACTTATTAGTTCTAGTAAAATTTTCATTTGTGAATAATTTATGTCACATACAAATTTGATGTGAGCGTAATTGAGCATTAAACAGCATTGAATAACAGTCATTAAAAATTAAAAAAAAAAAATCTTGGAATTACTATAATTCGAGCATAAACAGTGTAATTTCTAAAACGTGATTATAGTATTTTATTTGATTACAATTTGGTATGAAAAGTAGCTTTTATGAACGGATTTTGTCAAAGCTAGTGAAATTCACTGAGACGGAAAATTAATAAGCACAGTTTTGACTCGATTGTTTGAGAATAATAAAGATCAAAAGATTGTAAAGAAAATTGATTGAAACATTTAATGTACTTAATAAGTTTGCCAATTTAAAGATTGGATCTTTAAAGATATTAAAAGGACAAAATAATTCAATATAAAAAGCTCCTTTAAATCTGAACGGAATCAGAGCTGTAGCTTGGTAAAGTAGAGCGAAAGGCAATATCTTTTGGAATCAGGATCCTCTTAGAAACCAAGCTTTAAAGAGAATGATACAGACTTCCTACTCCTCCTCTTTACTTCCTAGATCCTAAACGACTGTCAAAGACGAAACCATACTCCAATTCTGACATTGAATTACGAATCAATCTTCCTAAAAGCTCTTTTGCTCATGCATGCATAATGTTTAAAATATCTCCAAAAATATTCTTATTGCCATTATTGTTATAAAGTATAAAGTATTACAGCTTATCTTGACATTATTTGCCATGAGAGGGAAAGGAAATTTTCATACCGTAAATTTAAGTCTGTAAAGGCAGAAAAAAGATTTTCATCCTCAATATTTCCATTATGGGCCGTTCACTTATAACGTTCGCATTTTAGAGGGGAGGGGGGGGTTGAAAAATTGTAACAAAATGTAACATAAGGGGGGGGGGGGGTGTCAAGAAATATGTAACGTTCTAACTGTAGTCTGTCTTTCAAAAAAAAGTTCACGAAAAAAATTTGTTTACAAATTCACACCAAAAACATTTTTTAAAATTTTCCATTTTTTTATCAAAATAAAATAAATTATGAACGTTCAGGGGGGGGGGGGGGTTGTGAGTTGTAACATATTGTAACAAGGGGAGGAGGGGGGGGGGGTGAAAAAAGTCGTTTTTTGCGTAACGTAATAAGTGAACGGCCCCATAAACAAAATAACTGTAATATGGCTGAATAAGAACAAGTCAATAAGTGAATCCAGATGACTGAATAAGGTGCATACTAAATCAAAAAGGTATCTTTGACAGGTTGAACTGTGGAGATAATTCTTGCGTAGAGACAATAAACTGCTTTATTTAATCAACAGTTATGAGAAGTATTGAAATTAGGGATGTAGCTATGAATCTCCAAGACTTACATATGCTTCTATTGCTTCATCCTACGAAATCTAGTAAGTGCCAAATATTGAAATTGTAGCTTTTAAGTACCTCAGTCCCCAAAATTAATAAAAATATAAAACCCCAGCAAATTTACAGTACCTTCAACTATTCTATATCCATCCAGCAGACATTCTGACTCATCATTCCAAAATTCTACTTGTTCTTCCGCACACAACACACGGAAATATGAAAATGTATATTTATCAAAATTCAATCTGTATTTATAAATATTTTATGATTCCAATGTCACTGCGATGAGAACAACCACAAAAAAAAAATTGACATAGGAAGAACAGAAGGAACAAATTTACGAAAAAAAATGCTGATAACAGCATGAAAAGAACATTTCAAATGAAATGTATGGAATCATAAAAAGCTCAATGTAGGCAAAACATTTTTGTCACCCTTCCGCTTTTGTCGAAAGATTAAATGCAATCAGCTTATTTGACGACCTTGAATTAGCTTGGATTTTTTTTTCGTATGTTGATATTTTATTTGACTCAAGGCGTGGAAACTATCCCAAATATCATATTTATCACACATATCCCAAAAATATTCAAAATAATCCCTGAGCCTGTATGGCGCCATTCACTTATTACGTAACGCTTTTAGGGGGGGAGGGGGGTCTAAGATTTTGTTACGGTTCAAACAAGGAAATTTTTTTTTCATACAAATTTTGTTACGGGGGGGGGGTCTAAAAAGTCATTTTTTCGCGTTACGTAATAAGTGAACAGCCCCAATGCATTAGAATTGAGATATCCCATCATATCCTGAAATTACACGTCCAATAAACTAAGGATACGTTGGGATATCTTTATTATCGTGCATGCATGCTCAGGGATTATTTTGAATATTTTTGGGATATGTAAGATAAATATGATATTTGAGATAGTTTCCACGCCTTGATTTGACTTTACTTTACCTTAAGATGCTTGAAAGTCTTATTATACGGTACATTTAGAGCACTCAAAGTTTAACAAACAAAATTATGCTGAAACAAATTTACCGACTTACTGCATTTAAGTTGCTTTTTCTCTTTACATTCATGAAAATTAATTGTTGTTTCTATTTCTCTTAGGTTTGTAGACTATGTAGGCAAGGCATTGATAAATGGAAAAGTATTCATACATTAGTTGTGGCTTAATTGATGGTTCCAATAGGTTTGTGAATTTATTTTAGAGCATCACGTTAGATTTGATGCTTATATAAATGAAGAATGAACATTCTGATCTAAAGAACCAAGAAGCTGAATAGCTGAGTACCTAATTTTGAAGCTTATAATCATTAATAATAGAGTTATGGGTTCATTTCCCACCTCAAAGCTTCATTTTAATAAACATTAAGAGTATGAACTATTTATTCCTGGATTAAAATTTATTTAAAGGCATCACCTAGTTTCCAATCCTAGCTATTCCCTTCCATTGCCAGTCTTTTTGTATTTTTCTTATCAACAAAAGTAAATTTTTCATTTGAACAAACTTAAAAAATGTCTTCAAAGAGAAATAAGCTCACATTTTATTGTTTGTAGCTACAAATGAATAAATACAGATATATTTTATGTCTGTTTCAACACATGAACGTGTCTGTTTTTTAGATGTCACTTACAAAAAAGTAACTTCATGTTAATGTCGATGAAATTGTTCTTTTTTTTGGCTAATGCCCTTTGCGTATACGCATATGGTTGATCGTTAAGCGGATTTAACTGTCAATATAACATTTTAGGACAGTTTGTTGAAAGAACAGAAGTAAATGATGGATTTATATTGTGTGCTGTATCCATGATGTATTATTGTTTTGATTCTAATGGTTTATTGTGGTTTATGTGGACAATGGAAATCATTGAAGAATTAAAGATTCCTAATTTGGAAGAAATACGCAGTTTATGAACGACTTTAAGCTATTAGAGTAAATTGACCAGTTTCATGAAAATAAAAATTAATATTCGTATTTGGAAGTTGATTGATAGTGCCGTGTTTATAGTCTTTAAAAATGTAAATTGTAATGAGTTTTCGAGGATAAATAAAGAATAGTAACAAGTCGTGAATTGAAGCTATAAAAAATACTATAAAAAAACTTTTTTAAAAAAGCACGCTTTTATTTCCGATTACAGTGCACTAAAAAGGAGAAAATAATTTTTTTCTGAGAACTCAAATTTGATACAAAATTTTATGACTAAAAATAAAAGCGTGGGGCGTTCAATTTAAATCATCTCTAGATTTTCTATAATATATTCACAAACCTAATGCTTGTTTAAACATATATGGATTATTTTTAATTGTCACAAATTCAAGATTTAGTGAAATATGCAAGAGCGCCCCACGCTTTTATTTTTAAGTCATAAAATTTTGTATCAAATTTGAGTTCTCAGAAAAAAATTATTTTCTCCTTTTTAGTGCACTGTAATCGGAAATAAAAGCGTGCTTTTTTAAAAAAGTTTTTTTATAGTATTTTATTTTCTACTTTTTAGTCTTATCAAATCTATAAATCAATTTAACTTCCAAAATTTGGAGCTTTTGTTTCATTACAACCCTGACTTTAACATACTTAATAAGGAGGTTGCAGTTTTTTGATTACCATTTATAAATTACCAGTTTTTAATGGGTTATTAGTAAAGACTATCAAAAATTTTCATTCGTTTTAAAATATTTAAGTCATACCTGAAAACACATGAAACTCTTTTAAAAATGTCCTAACTTCAATTAAAGATTTAGTGTTTATCCGTACCATTCCTACTGCATAACATGTAGATTCTTAACATAAAGATGCAAATCACATCTATATGTAACGTATTTATAACGGATTTTCAAATTTAAATTCAACGAATATCATTTATATGATATGCAAAAATACGTCAAGCCGTTAATAAATAGAAAAGTCAATTTAATTAAATTTTGGTGAAGTGTTATGATATAATGTAAAACATTAAAAACAGCATAAATATATGCTCAATTTATGCGTGCTAAACGAATATCTCATATTTATAGTTATTTTGCATTAATTCGTAACGGACTTTTGCTTAACGGTTTTTTTGAAAATTCAAATTTTCACTTACGTATATTCATGAAAAAATTACTTGTCAATTTTTTTGTCTTACCCGAATATCTTTCGCTGCTCAAATTTATAGTATAATTAATAATTAGTAATATTAATTAAACTATAATGAATCATATAAATGACTTTTGAGCATTTCAAGTATAATATTTAATACAAATCAAAATTTTATATCATTGACATTGGATTTTTTTCCCATATAAAAAAGTTTTACTTAAATTGTACTATAATTAAGCATTTTTGTGGTTCCAAGGTGTTAAAATAATGAATTGTCACCGGGAATACGTGTGTATACAAAATTTGAGCTCGATTGGAGCAGTAGAAGTGATCGAAAAATCGATTACAAGATTTGACGCTCCATAACAGAGTGAGTTAAATAAAAGCGTGTAATAATAAAAGCGTGTAAAATAAAATTGATTTTCTTATCGAAATATTAAGTTCAATTCGTGCTTTTAAAATTAATTCAAAATGAATTATTAAACTTATGTAAGGAGTTGTAGACAAAGCTATTAAATTAAAGGTTTGAACCGGTTTGAACTAGCTCAGTTCAGCTCAGATCATCTGCTTTTGTAGAATTATTCAGTGAAGGAGTGCTTCCTAATTTTCTTGGGTTTGTAGAACATTAGAAGCTGATTCCTTTGTCCATTGAGCCTCAGCAATGTCTAGTCATAACATTATTGGAAACTAGAGAGGGGCGAAGCCAGGAATTTGAAGAGGGGAGACAAAAAAAATTTATATGGAAAATTCAGGGGGGAAAGGGGGATTTTTATGATTTTTTCGAAAAACTCTTAGCAAAATGAAGAAATTTATTTTACGTCGGGGGATTCGTACCCCCCCCCCCCCCCCCCCCAAGGTTACGTACCTAAACCTAGATATTGACTGTTGCCACATTCTTTTCGTAACTTTGACATAATTTTCAGATCCACATTCTTAAAGATTCAATTTTCTTTTAACAAATCTTATCATCCACTAATCCTCAATTCATCCTCAAGAACTCCTCATTTTTTTTCTTGTTATATAATTCATTCCATTGAAAACTTTTAAAGACTTTTTTTGTATTCTTGAAAAAAAAAAATCATAAAAAAATGCAACAAACCACATTTCCATTTTTAAATAGAAGCTTAAAAATTTTCTATGAATGCAAATCATTTCATCTACTAAAAGCATCATAAACTTTTATTTCTGACAAAAAAAGAATACCTTTTACATTTTAAATAGTTCTGCAGCATTTTTGTAAGCTGTAAAAAAAATAAATTGCATTTACAAAAAAGAAATGAGACGATGTTGATGCATATTGAAGGATATCCTCAGAGAGATACATTGAGAAGTATTGAAATTGAAGGTTTTATGGTTTAAATAGAAATGTCACTTAAGAATGGTCACTAAGGGATGATAAATTTGAATATAAAGAAGTTCACTTAATGTGATTGTTTGGAGGTGTTATGGAAGCAGTTGTTGAGGAGGTTTTTTTGAGATTGTTGTTATCTCTTGATAAGACGGTGTCTGAAGATGTTAAAGGATCTGAATTGGCTCAGAAATTGATATGAAAGGCCTTCAGTCACATTAGTGCAGATCCGGTCATGCAATTTTTAATAAAGGTTTTCAAGGATGTCAAAATTGGTCCCAAAACTTCAAAAAACCTCAATTTTGAGCTCCTCCATATTAAAGACCATTGTACAAATTATCCAAGACCGTGAATTCCATTTCCCAACCTGAATCCTATCGTCTTTCACTTAAATTAAAGCCACCATCACTTAACAATCCCAAACATACTCAATCGTCCATTAACTGATGCAATTCAACTCATTAAGCAAATTAGCAATGAAATCCATACATAAGATGAATAGAAACGTTAATTTCTATTGCCAAGGTCACATTTTCAACACAATTTTTATTTCAAGACATCCATTGAGTAATGCTTTGAATGCAGTAAAATATGGCAACATAGCAAAAATAATTCATATATTTCTCAAAGCAGCAAACTTATCAAAGAAGAAGGAATAAAAGTTTCAATTGCAGCATTAAAATAAAAGTTCTTTCATGCTGAACTTCCATCAGACGTCAACTTTTTATTATATATATTTTTATTCACCATTTCTAAGTCGATAGCACGTAAAAGTTGCTATTTGGAAAGAAATCAAGGTTAAAAGCTAAAACGAGGAGCAAACAAAGAAACATAAAAAACAAGCCACATAAAATAATTTTGTCATGCAGTTATGCATCAAAATTGCATAAGAATAAAAATTATTATTTTTTGGGGGTCGTTCATAAATGATGTCCATCGAAAAATTGCATTTTGGACCCTCCAACACCTTTTCAAATATTATGCATCTAATTCTAAAACCTCCGTAGATTTAGATTCCAAATTTGACATTAAAAAATCATGATTGGTGCTCGGGTTACGTAACAAGCGAACAGCCCCCATTTTCATATCTCAATCATTTACAAATCTTTTCTTGCATTCACTCATAAAAAAAAAATATATGTTGGCATGCATCATGGCATTTGGATGTAGGAGTAGTCGGAAGAGCTTTTCTTCATATTATGCATGCATGCATCCACAATTGTTAAGTTGTAGCTTTTACGCAATACTGGAAAATTTTTATGCATAAAAAGGAATCTTGTGTGCATGCATGCACATCAATGTACAATACGGAGCAGCAAAAGGAAAGACATTTTAATGCAATGAATGTTAATTTCAGTATTTCAATTAATTGACGCATGAAAAATGCAAATAAGTGAGTGGCAATAAGGAAATTAAATGAGCGCTAGCATGACTCACTTCTTAAATATCAACGACTAAGGTATAATAAAATCGTAAAAATAACAGTAGTAAATCTGAATTATAACGATAACTGAAAATTATGGAAGGCCACTAAGTGGGCGCAACAACAGTAAAAAGAAGTAAGTTTATGCTGATTGGAACTAAGCGCAGCTCCGATAAAAATCTTGGGAATTTTTTAATGGGCATCTTTGTGAGTTTGAATGCATTGCATACAGCAATCAAGCAGCATAAGAATAAGTTCACACAGCACAGTAAAAAATTCCAGCAGTTCTTCATTTCCATCAAAAATTTAATGGTAATAAGAAATCAAAATTCAATTTGTAATTAACATTGATTCCGCATTTTTGTTGAACACAAAAAGAGCCCTTGACCATTTCCGATGGTTAATTAAATTTTACAGAATGATTTAATTACAAATTAATGAAAAG